ACACTGTTGTGTAGTCTGAATCTCTCCAGATTGTCTACAGAACTTTCATGAGTGATTTTATCTTGTTCAGTTCAGACCTATCCATGGTATATCCTGTTGTACTTGTCTAATAATTCTTTAAAAAAATAATTTAGTTTAGCATGATTTGTTCTGAATTAACCTTTACTGGCTCTCAATGTTCACTTCTTTGATTTACAAATAGTCAGTCAATAAACATCTGTTAAGGGCTTACTATATGCCAAGTGCTGTGCTAAGCTCTGAGAATACAAAGAAAGGCAAACTACTGACCTTGCCCTCCAATCCAGAAGCTCCATATTAATTCAAATAATGTAGGCTACATTTTTGATTCAGCAGTGAGATTTCAGCTTACCAGCTGCTACTGTGTGTACACATCTCATAGATTCATGGTCCTTGAGAGGATCAGTGATTGAAAGTTATTGCTCAGTGACTTGGAGTTTTGTTTTTTTTTTTTTTTCAATTAAAAATTTGGGGAAGCCCGAAGTTTCTGGTTAGTTAAATGGAAAAAATCCACCATTTGGTAGCCCAGAACTGGATAAGAAGGTTAATAGCTTACAAAATTTCTATCACTTCATTTTAGACAAATTCCTTTTGATGAAAGTGGTAAAGTATTTATTTTGTTCAGGGCCTTTAAGAGATTGAGCTTTAAGAGATGTCTTCCTCTCATGTCCTACATTCCAGCATGATCTCTGCAGGAGGGTGTGCTTACCAGCTGCTACTGTGTGTACGCATCTCACAAAGTTTATTTCCTCCTGAGTGCCTTGGGGACTATTGCTCTAGGAACTAAATACAGGCCTGCAGTATCTGCTCATTCCTTTTGCATTTATTTATGTGTTTAGATGATTGATTTTGCACTCAAGTACCTTCTGCATCTTAAAGCTTGCTCAAAAAAGTTAAAATACTCTATGTCCTGCTACCCTCAATTAATAAATCTATTTGGCTACCTAATCATGCATCTTATTCTGTTTTCCATCCAGCAATGTAGAGAGTAAAATCTCTTGGCTCCTGCAAGCTTTGTGGTAGATGACTCCTCAGGCTTGTTTGATTGGAGCTATCCAGAGGATGATATATGGGTCATAAATCCCATGTCAGATCTCATCTTGGTGGGCTCCAGACAGCAGAGGAAACTCAAAACCACATTTCTAATATCCCATTTTACATTCAAAACTGACAGCAAGGGTACAAGGTCAGAAGTATTTATCAGCATTTAGGCAGGGGCAAGGAGAACATAAGAAGAACCTCCAGGTTCTTAGACGACTACTTTTTTTGGATCCTGATTATTAATTTCATCAAAGAAGTCAATAATGATGGAAGTGCAGGAATCCCCCCATCTAATGTTATTAACTGGTCCTTTAGTAGTTTGTCTTTTAATGAAATAATATTGTAAGGCACAGTTCATTCCAAAGAAATAATGTTCTTATTGAAAAATATGTTCCCGGGCAGTGGAACTTCATACTATAAAAGCATATAATAGATCTTTACAAGGACCTGAGGCAATAATAGGAAATTTGGGGGACTACATTGGATAGGGCCACCTGTATAAGCCTGCAGATCTAAGTCATCAATGGTACACTTGAACTAGACGCAGAAAAGAAAAACTGGGAACTTCAGCTGGTTGAAGGACAGACTGAACAGACTAGATGACCATGGGAAAATAACCAGTTGGGGAGTAGCTGGCTCAACAATCAATCAATCCACAAGAAGTACTACTATATGTTAAGTACTGTGCTATGCATTGAGGATACAACAGCAAATGAAACTCTCCCTGCCCTCAAGCTTATATTCTAATGAAAGAGACAAACATATGTGTGTGTGTATAAACACACACACACACACACACACACACACTCACAGTGTTCCAAAAGATTTTAATTATTTGAAAATTTCCTAAGACTTTTGAAGCATCGTGTATGTGTTGTATGATACAAAAAAATGCAATGTAGTTTTGAGGGAGCAGTAGAAATTGGGGAGAATAGGGAAGGCTTCATGTAGAAGATTGTGCTTGATCCAAGTCTTAAAGAAAACTAGGAATTGTAAGAAGAAGAGATGAGGAGCGAGTGCATCCCAGATATAGTGATAGGCAAGTGCAAAGATGCAGTCATTGGAAATGGACTTCTGTGTATGAGAAACCATAAGAAAGCAAGTTTGAATGGACTATTGAGTGGGTAAAAAGGATTAATGTGTATTAAGGATAAAACATGTAGATCAGATCCAGGTTGTGAGAAGCATTAAATGCCAAGCAGAGGTATTTATATTTAATATTAGGATACACAGATTGGACAACAATAGGTCCTTGCCCAAGCACCACTTAATAGTTATTTTGGGGGCCCTCTTGGCTCAGAGAGAATGTAAATACTAACTATTTCTCTTTTGCAACCCTGAGGGTCTTCTCCCAGTTTGATTTTTTTCTTTGATTAAAGGGGCCATCCCCTGACTTACTTCTTAAAGATTTGCCTTGGTCAAAGTGAGAACCTAAAATGACCTTGGCTTAAAAAGGCCAAGGTCTCCCACTGCATCCTGGGCCATTTCCAGCCACTGTGATCGATATCTGGTCACTGGACCCAGATGGCTCTGGAGGAGAAAGTAAGGCTGGTGACTCTGCACAGCCCTCCCTCTCTCAAATCCAATTCATTTGCAAGTTATGTCATCATCTCCCTGATGTCATGATCCTCTTTGAGAACAAAGGACAAACCACAGCAACACAATTGAGGGAAAAAGCGAAGTGATTAAGTCTGCACTTTAGGAAAATCAATTTGGGAGCTGTACAGAAAATAGATTAGAATGAGTGAAGATTTAAGGCAAGAAGACCAATTAAGTGGCTTTTGTAATAGTTCAGGGGAGGGATCATAAAGGCTTGAACTAGGACGGTGACTGTGTGGGTAGGAAAAAGGGAAGACATGCAAGAGATGTGAAAGAGATAGAAATGATAACACTCAGCGACTGATTGGATGTGTGAAGTGAGAGGAAGTGAGGAGTTGAGATACCAGGGCCTGCCTCAGTTCTAGGGAAGGCCTTTGAAGAGATGGAGTGGGAAAACTAAATAATCTAATGACATTATGGAAGGAGTCTAAGGGGAGGGGCTATTTCTTTACCCTTTGGGAATCCCTTAACCTCTAGTTTAGAATCTTGCTAGATATGGATAATTCAGATGAGTTAAGGGAGGAAGAGAGAAAGGAAGGAAATTCTAATGTCTATAACTGGAAAGACACAATATCTCATCTTTCTGAGTTCAAATCTAACCTCAGACACTAACTCTGTAACCCTGGGTAGGTTGCTTAACCCTGTTTGCCTCAGTTTCCTTATCTGTAAAATGATCTGTAGAAGGAAATGGCAAAGTGCTCCAATATCTTTGCCAAGAAAACCCCAATTGGGGTCACAAAAAGTCAGACATGACTGAAACAACTGAACAACAACAAAATTAGCACACATATATACTCAGGGTTGTGCTTCAGCTAGTTTTAATAGCTAACCCAGGGGCCATCTCCAATCATCATGCTCTGTATCTTGCCACTGGACCCAGATGGCTCTGGAGAAGAAAGTGAGACTGGTGACTTTTCACAGCCCTTCTCACTTAAATCCAATTCACTTGCAAGTCATGGCATCACCTTCCTGATGCCATGGTCCTCTTCAAGAATGAAGGACAAACAACAGTAACAATGGCCACCCTGATACTTAAATTTTCATCATGAGCATTATGCCTCAGAAATCTGTAATCATTACAAATCTGGTTTAATTTATTGTTTTGTTGATTTCTAGACTTAAAGGTTTAATAATGCAGATTAAATTTAAAAATGTGCGTGCATATATTTTTTTCCAGAGAGCCCAGATGTTAAACATTTACCAGCAAACCCCTGTATTGATCAATAAACACTGAGCTAAGCAGGAATGCAGTAAAAGGCTAATGGAATGAAGACACCACCATACTAGAGGACTGATGACTAGAGGCTGATGATGATGATGATGATGATGATGATGATGATGATGATAACTGGCATTTATATAGCACTTTAAGATTTTCAAAATGCTTTACATCCATTATTCCATTTGAGCCTCACAACATGCCTTATATATGCTGATATTTTGTGTCACTTAGTGAATGATGGATATGTTCTATTGTTGTTTAAAACAAAGGCAAGAGCGTTTAGCACTGGGGACCTCTGGTACTTGACTGGTCATCCCTTGATACCACTCACCATAGACATTTCTTGTCCCTGAAAACTCTTCTGAGGAACGAGCTAAAAGGGAAATGGAGTTGGCATTATCTTACATCCCATTACATACAGCTGAAGTCAGCAGAGTTTGCAACATCCCACGGAGTTAAGAAAGCTGAGCCCAGGGGCTGCCTGCTGAATGCAGCTGCCTTTTCAGGGCTAGTGGAACTAGAACTTAAGTCTGCTGATTTCCACCTGCTTCTATGTATCCTTCAATAAATCCCTCTAGCTTGACAACAATAAGTTTTTCTTGTTTCCTACATCTTAGTGTTCAAATTTGGTTTTAGCTTATATGTTTTCTAGCTAGGTTTCTGACTTGGAAGAAAACTAGCATTTATTAAATGTCTACTATGTGCTAGGCACTGTGCTAAGGGCTTTATTATTTATTATCTCATTCAATCCTTACAACAGCCCTAGTGGGTACATGTTATTCATATCCCCATTTTGTAGTTGAGGAAAATGAGGCAAACAGAAGCTAGGTGACTTACCTAGGATCACACAGCTAGTAAATATCTGAGGCCAGATTTGAACTCATTTTCCTGTCTTTAAGACGAATACTCTATCTACCTACTGGCTTTATTATAGTGTATTAATTACATCACCATAAATCATAGTTCATCAGATGTTCTTTGCCAAACGAGGATAAATTGCACGTTAACAACGTCCTATTAATCACTTTATAACATTATCCTTTTATTTGAATAGTGTTGAAAGAGGATGTTGCCATCAACTCCAAGAAATTCCTTATGAATCCTTTTAAGTTCATCTTACTTGAAATCTTCGGGGTGGATGTCTTTTAATAATACTTGTTTCTCCCTTTTCCAGTGGAATATCTACAGACATGGGCCTGGGCACTTCAAGACCTGGGGAGAAATAAGAAAATGTCACTACAAATATTTTCACATCAATTCATCTGAATCATTGACAGTTTGACTCTGAGTAGATAGAGCATTGGAGCTGGATTAGAAAAGGCCTGGGTTTAAATCTGGCCTCTGATGCTTACTAGTTGTATGACTATGAGCAAGTCACTTGACTTCCATCTACCTCAGTTTCCTCATCTGTAAAATGGAAGCATTAATAGCACCTACCTCCCAGGGTTGTTGTGACAATCAAGTGAGATATTTGTAAAGCACTTCTCAGACTTTAAAGCACCATATAAATACTATTATTGCTAACAAATTATCACATCCAGTTATATTTTTAAATATCTAATCTAGAGGTACAGAACATTGTTACAACAAAGTCAAAAAAATGGCCATGCTATGGGTTCATTGTGGGCCACAGTAATAAAACATTAGCCCAATAGAGTGTAAATTTCTTTTTTTTAAATTTATTTATATATTTGTAATTCATGGAATAAAACAATTATTTTTATAACATACTTTAATAAAAAATAATAATAAAGATGATTACACATGAAACTATAAATCTATTATGTACAACTTGCTATTCCTTTTAACTATATAATAAAATTATCATGTAAATTTCCTTTTTTCCTTTTTTTCTTGCCTCTCCCCTGACCCTAGAGATAGCTATCATTAGACACAAATTGATAGAGGATGGCAAATTCTTTGATGTAATCTCAAGAAAAATGCCTCACACATTTTTTTTTCTTCTAAAGTGTACCTATTATTTCACTGGAAGAACAGAAAGAAGGACACAAGCATTTATTAATATGTGCCAGGCACTGTGCTCATTTGCGTGGACCTCATTTGATCCTCACAACAACTTGGGCAAGAAGGTACTATCGTTGATATAGGAAACTCATCTGAGATTTCATCTTACAGCTTTGCCTGAAGCACTGAGTTTAAGTGATGTGCCCATAGTCACATAGCTAAGAGTGTGTCAGATGTAGGGCTTGAACCCAGGTGTTTCTGATTCCAAGGCTGGTCCTCTAGCCACTCTGGATGCTATTTCTCAATTTGAACATGTTTTTAAAGCAAATGCTTTATAAATATTTGTTGGATTGGATTGGATGATACCTAGTCTTAGCCCTAACTATCCCTATCTCCTCCATAGCCTCCTATTTAAGAAAATAGCGCTGACAATAAAAACAGCAACTCACATTCTTAAAATAATTTAAGATTTAGGATAGTCTTTCCTCACTACTCTGTAGCATATGTAGTACAGCATTTTCCCCATTTTTTTTTTTTTTTTAGATTTCTGATTTCATGGATATCATTATCATCATCGTCAGTAAAGGGTGTCCCAAAAGTCTTTTTAGTAGTAGTGTTTTAAACTTTGCAACATACTTTTTACATTCTTTCTCATCTGATCCTCACAATAACCCAGCATTTTATTATCTGCATTTTGCAGGATGAGAAGTTGAATGAGGATGAGGAGGTTAAATGCCTTTCCCAGGGTCACACAGCTTGTGTCTGATTAAGAATGCAAACTCAAGTCTTCTTGACTCCAAGTCTGGTGCTCTTTCCACTGTTGTTCAATCATTTTATCATGTCCATCTCTTGGTAACCTCATTTGGCAAAGATGCTGGAGTGGTTTGCCATTTCCTTCTCCAGTTCGATTTACAGATAAGGAACTAAAGCAAACAGGGTTAAGTAACTTGTCCAGGGTCATACAACTAGTAAGTGTGTGAAGCCGGATTTGAACTCAGGAAGACGAGTGTTCCTGAGTTCATGGTCCAGTACTCTATTCACTGAGTCACCTAGTTGTCCAGCTGAGTACATGTACATAATTTATAAGTAAACATATGCATATTTATATATGTGCCCTTTTTTTTTTTTTTTTACTGACAAGGATCAAAGGACCATAGATTTCAAGCTGTAAGAGAATTTAGATATCATCTAGTTTCAGATAACTGAAGCCCATAGAGGTTAAGTGACTAACCCAGAGGTGTAAGATCAAAAAAAATTTGGAAACCATTGGAATAGAGTGGAGGAGTGGGTTCCAAATTTGCCCATGAGATAAGGGGCAAAATCCCTTAACCTTTCAAAGCCTCAGTTTCAGGGGTGTGCCTGAACCAGTTTGAACCCACTCTCCAGAACTGGTAGTTAAATTTTCAGTGTGAACATTTACACTTTGGAAGTGCCACAAGTCAGGGCTTAATTTGTTGTGTAGCTGATTATTAGATTTAAGAAAGTGATAGAGGAAATTAAATGTAGTTTTAATTTAAAAGTAAGGCATGTATACTTTTTCTTTTTTTTTCTCCAGAGAGGTAGCTGTTAAATATTTACCAGCATACCTCTGCTCAGTTTCTTCATCTGTAAAATGAGGATAGCTTGATATATATATCAATGTATAAGAAATGAGGATTCAACCTCAGAGTCAGAAAGACCAAAGGTTCTAGCCATACATAAAGACTAAACAGAGAGGATTCTGAGAAGATGCTGGAGTAGGTCAGAAAATTCCAAGCTCTCAAGGTTTTACCCCGTAAAAGAGATAAAATAGTGCCTCAGGGCACTATAGAGTGGGCAAATATAAATAAGAGTAGGGACAGAACAGGGGTCCTCCTGGGACAATTAGAGAAGATCTGAAGAAAAATCCCAGGACAAAGTTTGGTCCCTGTGAAGAGTAAAAACCTCCAGGCTAGGACCACTTTAACAACAAGCAGCAAGCCCTGGGGTTAGCTGGGTTGAAAGGCTGCCTTGCCTCCAGCCACAAGAACTTTTACCCCACCCCCACCCCCCATCCAGGACAGTGAAGGGAGTTGGGTGTCAGCCAGAAAAGATTGAGGGAACCTCTGCTGACAAGGAAAACTGGACCCAGCTGTGCTGCAGAGAAGTGGCCAGGGTCAAGAAGGAACCAGCACAAGCTGGTGAGTGCAGAAGCAGTAGGGTGGGGACACCATTAGCTATGGGCACTTACAGGAGGCTGGGAATCTTGGTTTCAGTTCCAGACCAGAGGGGAGAACTGAAGGAGGATCTGAGGCCAGAGGCACCATCCCCCTTACCCCAGGATTAGAGGTGATTACAAAAACTAAACTACAACAAATAAAAAAAAAAATGCACAGGCTAAGAAGAAAGGATCCAACCATAGAGAGTTAGTATGGTAATGAGAAGACCAGGATTCATCTTCAGAGGAGGATACTGGAGCAAAGAAACCCTCTTCTACCCCAAAGAGTAACATAAAATGGTGATTTGCCCAAAAAGAATTCATAGAAGACCTCTAAAAAGACTTTAAAAATCAAATGAGAGAGATTGAGGAAAAGCTAAAAAAAAAAAATAAGAACAATCCAAGTAAAACAAGATTAGGAAAAGAAATTAGAAAAGGAGATCCAGAATCTTAAGGAAGAAAACAACTCCTTGAAAATCAGAATTGGGCAAAGGGGAGCCAGTGAAATTATAAGGGGATTAAGAAATAACAAAACAAAATGTAAAGAAAGAAAAAATAGAAGAGAATGTGAAACATCTCATAAGAAAAACAAGTGATGTGGAGAACAGATCAAGAAGAAAAAAACTTAAGAATAATTGGAATACCTGAAAGCTATGATCAAAAAGAAAGAATCTTGATACGATAATACAAGAAATAATTAAAGAAAATTGTCCTGAACCATTAGAACAAGAGGGGAAAGTAGAAATTGAAAACAATTCACCAATCACCACCTGAAAAAGATCCTATGAGGGAAACCCACAGGAATATTATAGTCAAATTCCAAAACTCCCAACTCAAGGATAAAATATTATGAGCAACAAGGAAAAAGACAATTTAAGTATGATGGTGCCACAATTAGAGTCACACAATACCTAATAGGGATGACACTGAAGGACTGCAGGTCTTGGAACATTATATATCAAAGAGCAAAAGAAATGGGATTCTGGCCAAAAATATACCCAGCAAAGCTAAGCATAATACTGACTGAAAAAAAAATGGATATTTAATGAATTGTCAGACTTAGGACTTTGTTAAAAAAAAAAAACAAAAAACAACTTAATAGAAGATTTGACATACAAAAGCCAAGAGAAATATAAGGTACATACCAATGACTCAATACAAGGGACTCAATAAGGATAGATTGTTTACAAAGGTAAAACGTAAAAGCTATGTCTAAGATAGTTTTAAGTAATTGAGTAGTTTGTAAGAAAGATGAGGGTAGAACTGAGTATGATACCACTTTAGAAAAAGTAAAACCATTTAGGAACAGCTAAAAAGAATAATTATCTACACAAATGAGGTACAAGAGGTCAGTTCTTCAACTGACACAGTGGAATTAGGTGGGGGAGGAGGGCTGTTAGTTCTGGAAATCTACTTTTCTTCGGGAATGGGTTCAACAGGGAACAATACATATATATCTAAAAAAGTATAGGGGCAGCTAGGTGACACAGTGAATAGAGCACCAGCCCTACATTCAGAAGGACTTGAGTTCAAATCTAGCCTCAGACATATAATACTTACTAGCTGTGGAACCCTGGGCAAGTCACTTAACCCCATTGCCTAGCTAAAAAAAAAAAAAAAAAAGGAAAAGTATAAATGTCTTCTAAATTCTAAATTCATAATAGGAGGGCAAGGTTAGGGGTAGAGGTAAGGTAGGGGAGTCAGGAGGGGTAGGAAATAAGAGAGCCACACAAACAAAAACAAAGATCAGGAGTAGAATTTGTTAGAGAAAGTTTATGTTAATATATGTATGTATGTATATATAGTGTATATGTATATATCTATTTATAAATAAATAAGATATATATTTATAAATATATAAATAAATATATAATTGTAGCCTTCTTTGGGTGGGGGTTGGGGAGGAAGGAAGAAAAAAGAACAAAGTCAAAAGTGCACAACAGCGAACAAAAGAAAACTTACAAGGCAGCAAAGAAAAGATGGACCACTCTCGATACAACGAGTAGTATTTATTATATAGGCTTTTTGAAATGGAAATTTATTGCTATATATTTTGAATCTTCTCTTATATTCTGCTGTACACATGACATGCTTTTTCCCCCTCTTTTCTTATTTTGTATTTAAGTTTCAATATTTAAGTTTACAATATGTTTCTTTCTCTTTTCTCTGTGTACTTAAGTTTTAGTATTCAAGTTTAAAATTTAAAAAGTGAAGCAAGAAAAAAAAAACTAAACAACTTTGAGCAAGTCACTTAACCCCTCGGTGCTCCTGGTCTAGTTGCAGAGTGACAACCTACATTGTAAAATGGAGTTTCGGAATGGAAAGAGCAGCTGGGTGACACAGTAGGCAAAATGAGTCTTCCTGATTCCAGTCCTGGCAGGAATTTTATCCACTGTGCCACCTAGCTGCCCAGAAACCCCTATTTGTACTAATAGGGACTTAACCTATAATATATAATTGCATCATGATGGGTATCACGTGCGTTATGTGTGTAACATACAATCTATATACACATTATAAAACACAAAATAGAGATTTAAAAAGAATGAGATAAAGATGAAATAGTTGATCTTGGAGTCATCAGGGAACAACTGAAATTTATTGAGTAGAGGAGTCATATGGTCCCACCCATACTTTAAAAAAAATCACTGGGTCAGCTCAGTGAAGAATGGATTGGGGAGGGGAGTTCTTGAATTGGAAGACCAATTAGGAAGCTATTGCATTAGTCCAGGTAGAACTATGGTAGGATATGAAAGAAGGTGGTGACTATGAGTAGAGAAAAGGGGACAGTTGAAGATATATGGAGATAGAAAAGATTTGGCAACTGATTGGCAAATTTAGGATACCAACAGTTGAGGTTGTGATTCTGAAGTGACTGAAAGACTATTGGTGGCCTCAGCAGCAGTAGGAAGTTTGGGGAAGGGCTGCATTTAGGCGATAAAGATAATGTAATGAGATCTACAATCTGTCACAACATATCCATACCACTTATCTTGTACAACTCACTCTCTTCCACCCAAAAGAAAAATGAGGGATACCAACTGCTGCCATGGAATGAAAAGCCTTTGGAAACCACTCTCCTAAAGGCTGCTACTGCTATGCAGTAGTCTAGGGAGAGAGGTGAGGATGCTGGGAGGAGGGGAGCAACAGCAGTGAAGCTTAGGCTGTGGGTGCCAGGATCATGGCTAAGTTTTTAAGTGCCCTGGGAGGTTGGTGCCTGCCTCAGAGGGGAGTGAAGTAAGAATTTGTACAGCCAAGAGAATAGAATGGAAAGAATGTTGATAGATATGGGTAGGTGTGGTTGTGTTTGGACAAGCCCAAGCCAATTGCTTATCAGGTGACCCAAGTTCCTATCCTCTGATTGATTGATTTCACACCTCCTTGGAATTAGGCCATGGCCTCCTTGAGATCCAGTCACAGCCCTCACTTTGGAGACCATAAATACTTATTATGTGTTTGCTACGTATAAGTTACTATAGCAGGCACTGGAAATACAAAGATGGTGCTTTCCAAAATTAGTAAGAGACCGGAACAAAGCATATCCTTTGAGGTGTGAATTCCCTGCCATGATTTATTATAATCCTATCAAACATCCATTAAATAAATTCCATAAAAAGAAAGTGGATGAGTAACATAGATATTCAAGACTTAGGAAGGGAGATGCTCTTTCTACTTAAGTAAACTCTCACCAATGAAAAGGGTAGATTTCCCATCTCCCTAGGTTGCCCTTGTGACACAGCTATAATATAATATAGGGGCCTGAACAGATAAGCTCTGTGAGCAAACTCAGAACCTCAAGGCATCATTTCTTGGTCTTATTTTTAAAGGTGGTCTAAAGAACTATAACATGACAAAACTTAAACAAAAGCTCCCTTCTTGGTTGTTTATAACAATTTAGACTCTCTGATTTTTAAATGGCTTACCTACAATTCCCCATCAGGCTTGCTTTGCATTTCAATGGAAAATTCAAAGGGTGGGTTTTTAAAAAAAATTTTTGGCATGAGGCCTACGGTTTTATTGGTAAAAGGAACTCCAGGTGAGGAAAATCCTTCTATAATTGCAAATCTATAATTATTCTGCTTACAGTTGTCTGGGAACTCAGTAACTGACCTGCCCAAGGGTGGGAAACCAATTTACTAGTGCTTTTCTTTATGATGAGAAAATGAATACAACAGTTTAGCTTATTTAAAGTGATACCATTGCATTGAGCAGTAACAAAATAATAATTATGATGATGATCATCTATCTAACATTTATATAAAGTATTAAGGTTTTCGAAGGACTTTACATCTGTTACATATTAAGTGTTATCTACTTCAAACCTCACAACAACCCTGTGAGATAGGGGCTATTCTTATCCCTATTTATGGATTAGGAAACAGAAGTTGAGAGAGATTGAGTGACTTGCCCAGAACCACACATCTTGTAAATCTCTGAGGAATGATTTCAACTCAGGTCTTTATAACTCCAAGTCCAGCACTCTATTCATTATTTCACATAGCTTCAGATACTTTAGGTGGAACTCAGTAAATAAAATATTTTTAGTGAAAGATGCCCAGGTGCCGACTAGATGTCAAACATCACTATTAATTCCTTGCTTTTGAATTGGGCTTGAAGGCATTTTCTCATTTTGTATTTCCAATACCTGTGTGAGGTATTAGGGACATGTTAATACCCCCATTTTACAGATGAGCAACCTGATACACATGAAAAGATTTAGTGATGTGCCTAAGGTCACAAATCTAGATAGTAGTGTGGCTACGCCTAGAACTCAGATCTCTTGAATATTAGTTAATGATGTTTCCATTACTATATACTGCTTTTTAAATTTTTTTTTTCCAGTCATTCACATCTAAGTATGGAAGGGCAGTTTAGAGCCTTGCCTTACAAAGTGGGTCCATCTTTCCTCATTCAATTGCAATAATTTTCTTGGCACAAGCAAAAACTTCTATTCTAGAAATGAAATTGGGGCATAAAAGGCATCTTTGTCAGTGAAAATCTAAAGAGAACAACCCATTCAATCTTTAGGAAATTAAGAGACACATGAAATACATACATATACGGAATAGAAATTAAGCCAGCCAATTGTAGGAACATCATAGTATCATGCATATGAGTTTCTGAAACATCTGTTAATTATATGGAATAATGCTTTCCAAGTAAGTAGAGACATTTATTTCTTTTATAAACCTGAAATGAGAAACAAAACCTGAAAGGCCATTAATGGAAACACTTGCTTTTAAGGTGGTTTGGAAATAACCAATAAAAACCTTTTCTCAAAATGTGATTTGTATTTAAGTGCTTTGTCATAAAACACCGAGGAAAAAAAAAACTTACTTGGACTATCCAGAGACAATTTATAGTCACTTCAGGGTCGATTCCTATAATCAGAGGAGGGAAATTTCTCTTCTTGAAGATGTGTGTGGAGAAAAAGAGAATATGAAGTAAAGAAAGGAATGTCCTATCCATTCATTCAATTTTCCTCTGGAATCATTAGTAGTTTGCAATTATTCAATGCATTTCAACTCTATTGAGTTGGTGATGTATCATAAAGATTGTTTTTAACTTAGACCATTTCTGACTGATGATTATTATTGATCATGATGATATGACTGATTTTGATACATACACATAATACTAATGGTGTAATATGAACTGTGTATAAAAAGTAAGAAACAGTAAACTGAGATGTATCAAAATGATTTCCCCTCACCCTCCAACCAGAACTGCAAAAATCTTACTCATACATCTTTCCAAAAAAAACTCGACTCCCCCAGACATATTCTTAATTGCTAAGCTTTTGTCTTCCAATACGTTATTATCTTTTTTTTTTAGTTGTATTCAGAAAATTCTAGTTCTATGTAAAAACAACCACATAAGTCTATCAATTGCCTTCCTTCACCTGGAAGTGCCATTTTTATGCCATGCCATTTTTATTTTTACCTGAAGAATATCTTCCATACAAAGTCTCCCGAAGTGGTGGCAGCTGCCTGTCCAGTGCTCTCTTCTCTTGTAGTCTTGCAAATGAATATGAACTTTGATCCTCTGGATTGTCATTGAATGTCAAGTCCACAGGGCTAGCTGGGGAAGACATCGGGTCTTTATCTTGCATAGGGGCCACTCTGGTCACCCTAGGGTGAGCCTTAGAGTGCTTTGACCCCATTTTACTTTAAAGACATTAAAAAATACGTGTGGGGGAAAATGAGAATCTTAAACTTTCAACTTGCCCTGTTATTAAGGTACCTTCTTTCCTGTTACTTTGTAAAGCAGTCTTTTAGTTCAAAACATTTTTCTAGCTCTGTTTCATTACACATAACCCCTTTGGACTACTTCATGATAGGCTGGTTTCTATGGTTATTCCCCTCTTAACTCCTCCCTAGTCATTCCTGCATCAGAGTTCTGTTAAACATTGATTTCATTGGGTTTTTCTCTGGAAGTATTAGTGTAAGGAACACTAACCTCTATTAATTATTAGACAAATCTCTCAACACCAGAAAAAGCCATTGGTACATTTGTAGTGAAAAGGCTTAGAAAATTCAGTTGTTTTTGAATTCCACAAATATTAATTAACTATGGCCCTGCTATGTGCAAGACACTGTTCCAGGCACCAGAGATACTAAGATGGAAAAATATACTTTCTGTCCACAAGGAGCCTACAGTCTAACAGGGGATACAATAGACACAGAAATAAGTCTGTTATAAAAGCAAAATGGGATAGGAGAAAAGGCAATATATAGACAAAAGGATTGGGGAAAACACATTCAGTTTGTGGGAGAGAGGACATGAAGAAAGGTCTTATGGCACAGGTAGTACCTGACTGGGCTTTGAAGTAAGCAAAAGGAGTTCAGCAGGAAGCAATGAAGTAGGAGAACATTCCAGTGTGGGGTATGGCCAGCATCAATGAATGTGGAATATGGGAGCAGCTAGGGGCTCATGTTAGAAAAAACAGATAGTGTATGAAAGGGAGTGATGTCAAATAAGACTGGGAAGGTAAGTTGGAGCTACCTTGTAGAGGACCTTAAATGCCAAGCTTAGGAGTTTGTGTTTTATCCTACAGGCACAAGGAAACCCCTGTCTTGGTTTGTGTGTTTGTATATATGGGGTTTCTTTATTCTGTTATGTTTTAGGAGAGAAGTGACATGCAGATACGCATGAAGAAACATTTTGGCACGTTTGTGAGGGATGGATTGGTGTTTGGGGGAAAAAAAGCCAGACTAGAGAAAACTGAGTTTTATTGTCCATGAGCAAGTACATTAGGGTATTTTTTCCTTTATGCATATAACTAATATGGTAGTGGTATTCTACAGGAATGGATTCTAGAGACACAGTAGACAAATTGATTAAAACTGCTGGCCTTTTCTACAGTGCTAATGGGTCTCTGGGAGAAGTTTGTGATGAGATTTATAACAACTTTTACATGTAACTTACAAATAGATTTAGTTTCTTGCGTGAGTTAATTATTATGTATTGACCATGCTGTTGATATGGTTTATAGTTTGTGTTTACAGGATCTCTGAACTATGTTTCTAATACAGTTTAAATCCTTTCTGCAACTGATTGGTAATGGGAAATCAATCTCTAGGGACCTTGCAGCAATGTAAATTATGTGTCTGGATGGCTAAGCAGAAGTGATGTATGACCTAAATTTTAATTTCCTCCAGGAAATTGCTTTCCTCTTTCCATTCATCCATTGGACTTGAGGGAGACCATATAACAAGTGCTACTTGGTAGACAGGTATCATAGCATAATAAATTGATATTATAAATTGAAATCTCTCTAAGAGATTGCTAAATCAGGGCAGCTTAATGAAATCTGTATCATCACCCTTTAAAGTGAGCCATTGAATGGAAAGGCCAAATATTTACATAACTCAACTATGTTGAAGATAGCAAGTACTGATTTCAATGCAGTTTAACTAACATTTTTTCAATGCCTACTCTATGTAGAGCATTGTATCTGGCACTTTTAAATCAAAATTTAAAAGATACCCAGTCCCTGCTATTATAGGGCATAAACTCTAGTTTTCATTGTTGTCCATTCATTTTGGTCATGTCCAACTCTTTGTGGCCCCATTTGAGGTTTTCTTGGCAAAGACATACTGGAGTGGTTTGCCATCCAACTCATTTCACAGATGAGGAAATTGAGGCAAACGGGGTTAAATGACTTGCCCAGAGTCACACAGGTAGGAAGTGTCTGAGGCTAGATTTGAACTCAGGAAGATGAGTCTTCCTGACTCCAGACCCAGCACTCTATCTACTGCCAGGAGATATGATACAAAGATATAACCTATGGTTCAGAACTCCTTGACTCTGGACTTAAAAGAAGTGGGGCTGACTTTAGGGCCTACCCCCCCACCCCCCACCACCCAGCAATGGAATTACTCAGGCTCATGTTATTCTCAGACTTTACTCTGGGAAAATCTCCAAATGTAGCTCATGGGCTAATTTTCCATAGATATGTGTAACAGGGTTCCCAGATCTCACACAATCATGCAAAGTAACATGCATTTTTTTTTTATGTGACAGGCTTTATTTCACAAGTCCAGAAAAGATGCAAAGGTCTCATAGAAACACATGAATAATTTCAGAAAACACACAAAGGACTCCCAATATCCCATAATCAATAGCATTCTCCTCCTTCTCTGGTGAATTCTACTTTCCAGGGACCTAAAATCCTCCAGACTCTGGGCACCCCATGGGATCAAGTTATAAGGGAAACACACTTTCTAACTAACAGATAGTGTTCCTCCATTCTGGCAAATCTTCCTTTACGCTAGGATAAATACGGTCCTTTCTCCCACACTTATAGTGCCATCTTGTGGTTTGGTCTCCCCCAGAAGGAAAATATGCCAGGGTGTTCAAGCAGACAATGCTCCCACATTCTGGAAGGTCCTTCATCACTCTGAAGAGACTCATAGATTGAACCTTGTAGTGCTACTCTGAGGGCTTGAACTCCCCTAGAAAGGAAATATACTAGGATTAGCAGACAATCAGCACCCTGCCCCACCCCCTCCACCTTCTCATTAGGTGTATACCAGTCAAATAATTCTAATACCAAAAGACAAAATCCAGATCCATTATTTCCTTTATTTCATAACTTTAGTCCCTTATAGTTATTCCTCCCATCACTAAGAGCCACATTTGCCATTCTCCTCTTTTCAAGAAACATGATACCCAGAAAGCTTTCTATTCTTTAGACAGAAGACTGGATCCATGAGCTCTTGAACTTGAGACTACTCACAAAGCTACCCCAAAGGTGTCACTGCCTAAAAGATCCTCTTATGATCATGTTTGTCTTTGCCACTGCAACTCCAGAAACTTTCACCCTCCCCATGCAGTGCTTTCAGATTTATTTGAAAGAGAGGAGGGAAAGGATAAAGGCTGAGTTCATTATGATTTCCCTTTTTTTAGCTGAGCATAATGGAGTGATTCCTCTTACACGAATGCAACCTCCCAACAGTGTAAGTCAACCAATTCATTTTGGGTGCAGCCATTATCAACTTGACCCATCCTCTAGGGTATGGCAAAAGATATGTCCATATCCTCCATAGGAAGGTATATGCAAAGTCCCTTGCGAAGGTTCACCACTTTACAGGCTCATCAAACTGATGAGGGAACTTGCTTGAACAAACCGTATCATATTAAAAACCTTACCACTGTGAAGGAATTGTGATTTTCATGTTAATCGATATGATGTATGTAATGAATATACTAATAATTTAGATTTCTCAGAGCTGCCTCTTCTAGCTTGGGAGTCAGAAACTTACAATGCAGCTTGAAATGATCAATCAAACCCTTGACAACACTCTCACAATCACTATTTCCTGTGCCTGTATACCTTAAGTGAAGCAAATCAAAGATTGTAGAACCTGATCCCATCATAGAACTCTGGTCCTGTCCCCCACCAAGTAATGACCCACACGACTTGGAGCAATACTGTTCTCACAGGACTCAGAACACCTGTACTGTCCTGCACTCGTGGGCTTGTCATGGGAAAACACTTAGCACCTGGAAATGATTGTTTTGTAATCCACTTTCCCCCTCCTTCCCCATTTGTGATTTATGTATATAAACTGTGCCATTTACTCCAACATTCCTCACTCTGAAAGTAATTAATTAAACTTCTACTTGTTTCCTGGCACTCCTCTCTCTGCCCTGCTATGTGCAGCTCCAGCTATTCACAGGCTAGAGACCAATATAACAGAATCCTGTTAATACCATATAAAAATAACCATAGTACCAAATGGTAATACAATGTATAGAATACTGGACTTAGAGTCAGGAAGTTAAGTTCAAATCCTGTCTTAGGCACTTTCTACTTATGTTACCCTGGGCAAACCACTTACCCTTATTCAGCCTCAAGACAATAAGCATTTATCATTATTATGTGCCAAGCATTATGCTAAGTGCTTGGGATATAATACATTTTTTTAAAAAATGGTGTCAGCTCTCTTCCTCCTTTCCCTTCTTCATCTGTAAAATGGGGATAACAATAGCACCTTCTTTATAGGGGTTCTTGTGAGGATCATATTAATTAACATATGTAAAGCACTTCACAAATATTAAGGTGCTCTGTAAATGCCAGCTATTGTTATTATTATCATCATTATTATCATTATAAGAGAGGTATAAACAAAGTTCTGTGTGAGAGAGGATGACTTTGACTCGAATGTCAAAGCAGGTTCTTAGATTCACCAGAGTTGTGAATTAATAAATGAACAGAAATTCACTCTACACCATCCCTTACATGTTCATCAAGTGAACATAGCTTTATAGGAAAGCTACTGGAAGATCTCAAGAAATTCATTAGCTTCCAAGGTAGCCCATGCTCCTTTTGGGAAAGGTATAAATTATTATCAAATGTTTCCCTATATTGAGGCAAAAATCTGTCTTTCTGCTGCAATGAATTTACCTAGAAAAGTCTAAGGTTCCAGATTTGGCTTGAATGAATACTCAGACTGCTATCATGCTGACTTCCCTTTACTGAGAATCAAGGATCTGTGATGACAATAGGGTGGGCTCCCTTGACTTCCTGGAGGCACATTCTCAATCCTGGTAGAAGCAGCTATTTGCATCATGAAGTGTTCCTACCAAGTCGGAAGAGTAATGACCCTCTTCTGACAAACTATTTTAATCAGGCAAATGCTAAATGCTACATCAGCCCAGGTGTCCCTTAGGCAATCATTAAAGCAGGGCCCACATGACTCTCCTACTCCACTCTCTTATTTATCATATAATTTTCCTGGCTCTACTGTTCTAAGGGCGATTTCTTGTTTTAGTCTATGTTGACAACTAGACCATAGTGAAGTTTGTA